AGAGCTAATTCTTCTTCCTCCGTAGCAAATAACGCTTCAGCATCCCAACCATCTTCACTATTCTCCTTCGAACAAGAAGTAGCAGTATTACTTTCAACAGGCTTTTTCTTGGTCCAACAGTCTTTTGCCATGTGGCCCATATTCCCACAATTGTAACACTTGCCATCGAACTTTCTACTATTATCGCGATTCTTGGAAGCTCCCCCTGAATGAGGGCCTCCCTTTCCTTGGTAATTTTTCACCTTGTCACCATCCTTTTTAGATCCATTGTCAGTATACCGCTGAAAAGTGCCTCTGCTTTTGCTGGTGTAGAGCGCTTCCTCTTCACCCTTCAACGAGACTCCTCCCATTTGCTTGGCCATGGCTTCTTGACCTGCAAGCAAATTTTCGAACTCAACAAGCGATGGTTGTGTCGGCCATCCCTGTACAGCGGCAACAAACCCTCGATATTCGGGTCTCAAACCATGGACAATTATTCTTTTTATCCTGGCTTCCAATAGCAGCTGTCGGATCTAATTCTGAAATTTCACGGCATATCGACTTCACCTTGTGAAAGTATTGGGCAACCGCCATGTCGCGTTGCGCCATTGATAAAAGTTCATTCTCGAGAAGTTGCAATTTTGTATCGTTCCTCTTCGAAAAGAGTGTAACAAAAGTGTCCCATGCTTCCTTTGGTGTTTTAGCATCCCGGATGTGCTCCAACATTTCTTCTTCAATTGTGGTCTTTAAAGCAAACATTGCTTTGCCTGCTTTAATTTTCCACTTTCGCAAGATTCCATTGGCATCTTCTGTCGCCGGTTGTGTAACTTCACCACCACCGACAACCTCCCAAAGGTCTTGACCTTGTAAGTATGACTCCATACATGTTGCCCACGTGTTGTAGTTTTTGTTGTTGAGCTTCTTGATTCCTCCAACTACTTGAAGATCACCCATCTTAACGGCAAGGCTTTGACTACACCGAACAAGCTTGAGTAACAAACGTGCAGAGTACTAAATTACTCTAAACACAAAGAAGCTCCACAAGGTTTGTAATAACCTCGACAATAACTCAAGAAATATTTTCTGATGTGGAAGATCAGTTAAAAACTGCAGCCACAGAGCATACTCAGAATTTCAAGAGATCTTAAAAAACGTGGCTCTGATACCAATTGTTGAATCAAAATAGAGTAAAAACTCTAATTGATCGGAAAAAAAACTCTCTTTAGAATAATCTCACAAAATTGCAAAAGGGAAGAACTCTTAAGAAAGCTTTCAAATGCTTATAATTAAGCTTTGATTGTTGGATGATAAAACTCAAATACAAGTAGGGTATTTATAGGTTACAAGAAACAATCTAAACCACTCATTAAAATAAACACTAAATAATCTAAACCATTGAAATTAAAACATGAGAAAAATACTTAATTTTCACCTAACTAAATTGATGTAAGCAATGACATCAAAACTAAATTG